TTCCCCTTCCCCTTTGCCCCTTTTCTTCCTATTTCACATTATCTATTATACCTTTTAGTCCTTATTTACACTGTTTCTCACACTAGAGAAACTATTTGGTATTTACACATGTGTGTCCTGTTTATTTGTGAACTTTAATATTAATGAAATCTAACATGTGAATTCTTATGTAATATGCCTCTTTGCTAACATTTTATTTTGGTATCTGTTTATGATTAGTTTTATTATAGTGCATTATTTTCCCTGTTAAAAATGTAGCATGATATGAAAATATCACAATCTATTCATTCTATTGTTTGGTTTTGTTACTGGGGATTGAACTCGCCACCTTGCATTTGCAAGGCAGGCACTGGCACCACTGATCTAAATCCCCAGCCCTTTCTATTGTTGATCTATACAGCAGCAGGAATAATGCCCTCTCCAAAATGTCCGTGTTCTAATTTCTGAAATTTTCCAATATATTATTTTATATGGCAAAACAGTCTTTAAAACTGTAATCAAGTTATCTTGAAGTGGGAAGACTGTACTGGATTATTTTTGTCAAACCAAAATGGTCACAAAATTCTTTACAAAACAGACAAGAGTGTTGGGGTCAGAAAGAAAAATTCTAAGATGCTACAGAGTTGGCTTTGAAGATAGAAAAGGAAGTCACAAGCCAAACAGAAGCCTCTAGAAACTTGAAAAAAGCAAGGAACAATTCTTTTCTAGAGTCTCCAGGAGGAAAATAATCTTGTTGACACCTTGATTTTAATTCAGTAAAACCCATTTGTAAACTTTTGCCAGAACTACAAGATAGTAAGTGTATATTCCTTTTGGTCACTAAGTCTGTGGCAATTTGTTATAACAGCAACAGGAAACTAATACAATCCATACTGAGGCTTGTTTTCAGGTTTGGCTAAAAAACAATGATATATATCTTGGTATACATGTGCAAGAGTTTCTCCAAGTTATGTGCTTAGAAATGGAACTGCTATAAGTACATGTTTAGTTTTATTAGGAAATGACAGGCTGATTTCCAAAACAGCTGTATCAGTTTGCTCTCTCACCAAGAGAAATGGAAGTTAATGTTGAATCATATCTTCCCCAATATTTGATATTAATCTATGCTTTAATTTTTGCCAATCTAGTACACATGGAAGAATTTTAGATCTGTGCCAGGAATCAGAAACAAAGACCAAATATATTTTTATACTACACCACACTGAGTGAGAGAGGAAGAATGGAGAGTTTTAAGCAAAGGATGAAAGGCATATGGAGTACCAGGTAAGGAATGAAGGTTTCTCTTATACATTGTATCACCAGAGCTGAGGAATTTTTAGATAAGGGAACTTCTTTGATAAAATGACACTTTAACAGAAACTAAAAAACTAAAATAGTGAACCTTATGAATACCTGAGTGCTCTTTATAGAAGAAACATCAAGTACAAGGGAAGATAAAAAGATATGGTAAATGTTTAAATTTTAAAAATAACTTATTACAGTAAAAGATACATTGCCAAAACTGATGGGATAAGTGTGTTTAAAGCAAGGGGGAGTAATATGAGAGGTATTCATAGCAATGTCTTTTGCTGCAATACATTTTCAAAATTTGAACTTATTTTATTACACTTTGTACAAAGGCCTTAAGGCAAGTACATAGTTAGTTGCTCTGTTTGAGGAACAGGGAGAGTAGTTCAGCTGGAGCATATGTGATAAGGGGAAAAGATACAGGGAAGAGCAGATCTGAGGGAACAGATCGGAATTTGGTTCCAGATATTCAGACTGGGATACTTTTAGCCAATTGAGAGGATGAAAAAAGTTAAGATATACAGATCTAGAGCTGAGACTCCTTCTCTGGAGACCTAAATTTAAGAGGGAGCAGTGTAGTCAAGATGGAGGATATAGTACAAGATTCGAACCCTGAAGTTCAAATGAATGGCAGGCAAGGGCAGAAGAACAACAAGCAAAGAAAGCACTAAGAAAGACTGACCCGACAGACAGGAAGGAAATTAATAAAAAATGTTGTATCCTAGATGCCAAAATAAGCATTTCAAGGACAATGAGTGTTGATCTTTGAAAAATGCTGCCAATAGGTTTGATGAGGTTTAAAACAAGCAAAAGAGACACTGGTGACCTTGACAAGGTCAGTTTTTGACAAGATCAGTTTTAAAGGAGTGGTAGGGAAAAAAGTCTGATTGGTATGAGCTAAAGGGAGAACAAGAGAACCAAAACAGAAAAAAATAAAGATAACTCTTTGAATTTTTCTAGAGAGAGAAAACAAAACTGATGCAGAAGCAGAAAGAACTTGAAAACAACAGAATAACATTTTTTCCTTTTTGCCAGGGATTTAGCTCAGTGGTTCCGGCACCTGCCTCGAAAGCGCCAGGTCCTGAGTTCGATCCCTGGTACCAAAAGAAACCCCAAAATTACCTATCTCCTTAAATGACTTATTTCTTTTGAATAGAAATTTTCAAAAATTATAATTCTCCCCTTCACCTTTTCAACCAATACATGCAAGAAATGAGAAAGATGTCTTAGTTCTACTTTTTTGTTTTCCTGGTTCTCTATGCTCCAGAGAAGTAAAGACTGATACACAGTATAAAGCAGAAAGAGGCCTGCCAATTTTTTTTTTCTTTTTGGTACCGGGGATTGAACTCGGGTCCTTGTGCTTGCACAGCAGGCGGAGAAACCACTGAGCTAAATCCCTGGTCCCGAGGCCTGCCAATTTAATGTCACTCACCTAAGTTATTTAAGCTCTCAGGACTTCAGTCACCACAATGGCCCCACTTCTGACAGATGTTCAAAAAAAGAGATCATGTACATTTAAGCATGTTGCAGGTTAAAAGTACTACCTAAAATATGATCAAACACTACATCAGAAAGTACCATTGGAAACAAAAAAAACAAAGATACTTATTTTTTTGTTTGTTTTTTTGAGACAGGGTCTTGCTTTGTAGTTCAAGCTGGCCCTGAACTCACTATGTAGCCCACGCTAACCTCAAACTTCAGGCGATCCTCTGCCTCCTCAGCAGTGGGATTACAGGCATGCACCACCATGCCCGGCAAAGATACTTATTTTGATGACTGTCTGGCAAATGCTACTTTGAATATGCACAAATCTTTAAGTGTTGAGTTACCTATATATATTTGGTTGTAAGAAAATTAGAAGTATAGATGCAATTATAAAACATTAATTACACATAATTAGTGGTAGATGAAGAAACCTAAATGAAGCTTCTAGACTGCTGATAAAGTATATAATTAATATATGCCATGTTAAAAAAAGAAAAAGTGAGAACTCTCATTTTAGAAAAATATCTAAATGTAAATTCCAAACACAAACATTCAACTAGTAACTAGAAAATCATTTTGCCAAAGACAACTTAGAAAATTTATTTTTTGTAAGTCCAGCAAATATATCAGAATTCTACTATGTTAGTGCTTTTCAAGTGGGGTTCAAGAATAACTGTATTACAATTACATTCAAGGCCTGTTTAAAATGTTGGGTCTCATTTCAGGTCCACTCAATCAGTACAGTTTGGAAGTAGGGCCAGAGATTCTACATTAACTCATTCACTACCAAAAGTTTACCCATTTGTGTCAAATCATTTAAAAACTACTCAAACATGAATACAGATGGAATATTCAGGCATTCACCATAAAATCACTGAAAAGTATCTGGATAAAGTCAGAAAAACATGTTTACACGGTTACACTCAAGAGTTACTGTCAATTTTTCTTAGCAATGAGCATTAATTGCTTCAAATGGCATCTCCTCATTATCCAGGCCACCTGAGGCACTCTTTGGCTCTGAGCAGTTCTGCCACTTTGCAGCAGGTGCAGAGGAGACACAACAGCATCTGACAATCTGTTCAAATTCTACTGAAGAAAAAAGATGTAAACATTGCTCTTCTGGCAAAAGGCTGTGGTCGGCTAACCCTGAGGTTTCTAGGATAACGAGAGCACTCCCTTTAATCGCTTCACGAAGACACCCTCAAACTCTAGCGTACTCTGCAGTTAGCACCTCAATCAGACCCAGAGCTCTGTCCGCGAGCCACAGGATACAGTCAGAGCTCTAGTTGGGCTCATCTGGCGATGCCACTTAACAGACTTAAAGCAAGTGGGTAAAAATAAAGCGGTACAGAGCAGGGGCAAAAGCCAAGGAATCTCCAGTGCAAGTTCAAGTTAGCCAAGTTTTGTCTTCCTCCCGACTCACTCTTAGGGTGGCCGGGAGTGGGGGTCCTGGAGTAGCACCGACACCGCCTCCCGACCTCCCTCAGGAACTCCGAAGGGAAGGGTGACACTTTCAGGGCGCGCTTCCTTAAGACAGCCCAGACGTTCACCCCGTCCCATCTCGCGCCACACTCCCGGCCGCAGAAAACAGCACAAGGACAAGAACCGCAACGGCTCAGGGGATCGTCATCTTCTCCTGACTGCCATCACCCCGGGAGTCTCCATCCCTGCGCACACCGGAGTTCGCAGACGTTTCCTGTATTTGACCGAGCGGTCAGTGTCCCAGCTTTTCGCTCTTACCTGCGCTCGAACTCTGGGCACCCCCGCCGCGGCCCATGCGCAGCCGGCTCCACTGTCGAGCGGGGGTGCTGGGTGGACCCTGTCCGGGCTTACCTGGGCCTGGACGACGCTCCGGAGGAAGCTTAGGGTGATTAGCAGCTGCACTGCAGCCGCCGTCCCCTGCACGGCGCCAGCCCAACGGACACCTCGGCTCATGCTGGCCTCCCCCGAGAGGCGGACGGCTGGGTCCCTCGGGGCCAGGAACGGAGGGCGGCCCGGGCGACGACCCCAGGGGACCGAGCCCGGCGGCAGAGGTCCTCTAGAGGCAGAGGTCTGCGCGCTGACCGGAGGCGGCGGACACCGCCTGGCGCCTGGTAGTAGCAGCGACTAAGGTAGCAGCGCCGCGCGCTACCCCTTCTTGCCCGGGCGGCCCCGCCCCCGGCGTCCTCAGCCGAGGCCACGCCCCGGCGCGCGGTTTTCTGGGCGTTGTGGTCCCGGCGGTCCCCGCGGCCAGAAGGCGGAGCCGGAGGCCCAGCAAACGGCCGGCTAGAAGTAGGGAGGTCGTTCCGCCTCCTCGGGGTCGGGTTCCACGACATCCAATGAGGCGCGACCACGAGGGCTCCAAAACACCGAGAGGGTGGGGGCGTGGGTATCCTCTTCGGGTTGTCCAGCCGAAACCGCTTCCTTCTCTGGTTGTGCAGGAAACGAGGTTGGGGCCAGTCCCAAGAAGGTCCCTCTTAGGCCGCTGGGAATCAGGTTTCACCTAAGACTTACCCAAGTCGGGACTGGAACTTAAGCGCTTGTCTCCTTCACTTCCCTGTAGCCTCACATCTACTACAGTTACCTTAATAAGTCTTATGCGTCTTGGCTGGGTAGAGTCACCTCCTTTGTTTTATGCGCCCCAGGGGTCAGCTCTCGCCCCAACCCACCTCCCATTGATATACTGACACATCCCAATACAATGCACATTAAAGCACAAGACAAACCCGAAAGTTTATAGGGAAATATGGAAATGAGAATAAACGTACATGAAAACCTGGAGTGACAAACTAGACTAAATCCCAAATGTAACACATTCTAATTAGTTATGTGGCCTTAATTCCCACCTCAAATACTGTTTTAAGATTACATGTTAGATACATAAAGGACTTAGAATAATACTTAGCACATAGCAGTTATCAATAAGTGGTAACTGCTGTGAACTTTACCAATACCCTGGGTTTCAACAAAACTAGCATCTTAGGTTTATCTAATATGTATTACTTTCTTACTGGTGCTATAACAAATTACCACAAATGTAGTGGCTAAAAACAAAACAAATTTATTATCTTCCATTCTAGAGTTCAGGAGTCCAAAATGGATCTGCAAGACTGCATTCCTTTTGTAGGTTTCCTTGCCTAGTGTCCAGCTTCTAGAAGTCACCTGCATTCCCAGACTCATGACCTCACATCACAGGGTCATACTCCTTCATCACAGTTCACTCCTTCTGCTTCTATTGTCATATTCCTTCTCTTTCTGACCCTAACTCTGCTGCTTCCTTCACAAAAGGACTTCTGGGATTACTTTTAACTCCCCAGATAACCTCGGATAATCTCCCTATCTAAAAATTCTTAATCACATTGACAGAATCTCTTTTGCCATACAGAGTAACACATCCTCAATTTCTGAAGACTAGAGCATGAACATTTGTGGGAGGCAACTAATCAGCCTACCAAATGATGCTTCACACCTTTCAGAGCACTTTCACATATATGTCCCTCCGCCCCACCTATTACAGAATCTGTTGGGCCCAGTGAAAAAAATTCAAGAGTGACAGCAGAGCATTAAGCCAAATGTAGGGCTCTGATGAATGCAAAGGTCATCTGCCCATAAACCCAGCTCTGCTGATCCCCTTCCTCTTCAGTGGCTCTTTCTCTTCTGCTTCCAAACCTGAGTAGGTATTTCAAAGCTTAAAAACATAAAACTTTGCTGCTTGATTCTTCCAGCTATATTTCCATGTCTCCTCTTCATTTTTCTGTCAAACCAGTACTTCTAACCCACCCATTCCAATGTATAAATGTACTTAGAATAAAAGGAAAGCATTTTTTTTATTGACTCCAGTGGACTTTCCTTAAGAGTCCTTTGTGCTGCATTGGGCATTGATAACACATATACTGTGTGGGATTTTGCTACACAAAAATTTTGAGACATTAGATTACAAACTTTACTATTTTAAAATCTCAAGCCCTTTAATGGCTCTCTGATATCAAGGGCTGAATCCATGGCCTACAGGTCAGAATCCTTCCAGATATGACACTGAACAACTTGAGTGGTTGGTTGACGGCAAGAAAGTAGACAAGGAACTCTGATGGAGGAATCAGCTGGTAACAACAGTAACAATACTCTGCCTTTTCTTTTTTTCAGCTCAGAAGCCTGACCCACAACTTGTGGGGACAAACGGGCTTTTTCATTGTATGTGAAACTAGAAATAGGTGTTTGTCATGAGATATAGGTGTACCAAAATGCATTCATAGTGATGCCTGTCTGTTTTGGTGTTATTGTTATGAGGGATATGAGGGAACTGTTTCTTTGTGAACAGACTGCCCTCTTCTTTGTTCTCTCACCTTGGCTGCTTCTGTTTACCTCTTTTTTTCCCTAAAATCAATTATGCCAAAACCAACATTTGGAGAGTCACTGATGTGATGTCACCATCACCCCTGCTTCCTGCCAGTGATGCTTAATTTGAACCTTCCCATCCCTACTACATCCCTGGTTAGAGGTTGAAACAGGAAGGCTAAATAATCCCCTTTTATTATAAGCCAAAAAAAAAAACCCCAGGTCTACCTTAACTTAAAAATAATAAGAAGCAGCAGCATGACAAATGAAAAAACATGTGGACTCAAAGTGCTGAAGGTTTCACTACTCACACCTCTGGAAAGGCAAATTCATCAGGACACAATTTGGGAACTCTAAGGGATAGTAACTAATGAACAGTCTTTTCCAGGTCACTACCATTGTACTAATAATTTTCAATCTCTTTTTATTATTTGTCTCTCCTATGAAAATTCTAATCCCTCCTAGAGTTTAGCTTGGGGAGATGGAGCAAGAACTCTGATTGCCAACCCCACAAGACTTCAAGGAATGGCAAGAGGAAGTTGTACAAGTAAACAGCAAGGCTGCTATCTTCTATCATCAATAGAGAGGAAGGGATGCTGGTCAGACAAAAGAAATAAATGTCTCCTTCAGAAAGTCATTCTTTTCATTCTAAGTACTTGTTTTGAATTCACTTTCTTTACCTCAGCTTGTATTTGTACATTCATTAAATTATCAAAGATATTCTGGTTGTGGTACAACAAAAAGCACAAATCAGGACACTGGCAAAGCAGAAATAACAAAAGTATGCTCTTGTAGATAATGTAATTTATGATTTACTAATACCACTTGGTTTGCATGAACCTAATTACCTAGAACTAAGGTACAGAAAAACTGACTACATTTTTTAAAGGGAAGAATTTATGAGCTTCCTAGATCTATTAAACTGAGGAGAGTCAGGTCCAGCTATGACAATCAGTAAAACTCCCTATTGCAACAATGATCATTCATCATTGATTTGGTTGGGATAAACTATGGGAGGGGGCTAACCTAGGAGAAAAAATTTAGCATAGTTGGTAATTCCACCTGGGCCAGCCATGGCTATATTTCCTGTGATTCCAGATGGAGCCAAAAACACATGGCTTGTACTTCACTTTTTTGAATTGACAGTAATATAGTCAAATGTACCTAGTTAAGATTAATCTTATTCATATTGGAAATGTACTCATGCAGGCACTATGCAGAAAAACAGCTTATAGTATTCACTGTTTTACTTTCCAATACAAATGAGTCTCCCCATCCTTCATCACTTTATTTTTCTCCCCTTCTTCCCACTTCATATCTCCTCTTCTGAGGATGGCCTGATTGTCTAGAGTGAGTCATTAAAGTCCTGTGGCAGTTTCTACCTATAACATTCAGTCACTGTTAGCTTTTCCTGTGTCTGTGTGTCGTACACCCCATCAGCAGTGCAAAGTTTTGGCAGATCCTATCTTCTTGTACTCTATTTTCTGTAGTACTGTCTCAGTTCCTATAAACAGTAGTTAGTAAATATTTGTGGACTGGCTGAATAATGTTATAATCTCAATTTATTTTAAAAGATATCTGTTTCAGGGCGGGGGATTTAGCTCGGTGGTGCCACCGCCTGCCTTGAAAGTGCAAGGTCCTGAGTTTAATACCCGGTAACAAAAAAAAAAAAAGAAAAGGAGAAAAGATATCTGTTTGAGAGCCAATGCAAAGGTAGGATCACTGAACATTTTCTGTGGAGGGCTGGAAAGTCACTTGGTTGGAAAGGAATGTTCTTAGAGAATGCAGTAAAAGGTAAGTGGCACTCTTTCATTTAGGCAAGAGAGTACAGTAACTTGGAGACCATCAAAAAGGTTGGTGGAGTAACAGACTTATCACTGTGGTGAAGGCCAGTTACTAGAACCTACCACTTCAAGAGTTTTCCTTACCAGGTATGGTGGGGAACCTATAATCCCAGTACTCAGGAGGCTGAGGCAGAAGGATTGCAGAAAGTTTGAGGCCAGCCTAGGATACATAGTGAATTGAAGGTTAGCCTGAGCTACAGAGTGAGATGGTATCTCAAAAAACAAAACACAATAAAAAGTTTCCCTCAAGCACTGCTTGAAATATCTATAACTGATGTGGTTTGAAGAAAAAGCTTAAAAACTATCTTGAATAGATTACTGTGATGCTTTATAAACTTTGAGAATTAACAAAATTGCACCAAACATTTACATTTCCAAGATATCATCAAGTGTGTTGTGTTTCTTTGATGACTTTCCAGCTTGGTTAACTTGTGACATCTAAAGAAGAAGAAAATCATTGATGAATGGCTCTAAATAAAAATCAAGGTAATGGGGTGGAAATCTAATAACCCCAGTAATTTTTTCTCCTGATAGCAAGCTGAACTATGATTAATGAATCTATGAAGCAATGGCAATCTGTTGTGTTTAAACAACTGTGTTTGTAGATCGCCCTGGTGTGTCAACAACTGACCATGGGATTAAAAAAAATTGGATTTCCAGCTGTGACTCAGTTATAGGGGAATTTTTGCTTGGGGATCACATTTCTGAATTTTACTAAGGGGATTTCTTCCCCTTTTCTTTTGACAATAAGGATTAAAAGTAATCAAACCCAAAGAACTTTGCTAGCCTATGGTTTTTTATTAGTTATTCTATCTAAAGTAGTTCTTGTTCTTCCTTAATGTTTACTCAGCTGTTACACTCTCAAAGTATTTTTACTTAATAGCATTAAGGCTGATAAACTTGAATCAGTTAAAAGTATTGCTATTTCTAAAAGAGTTTACAAGGGGATATATGCAATTTGGAATAAACCTTCTTTTGTATAACAAATATGATACTATGGTAAATATTAACATGTG